AATACATTAATATATTTAATAACATTACAATACACATTGAATTAAAATGAGGACTTTAGGCCAGATTATGGTAGAGCCTAAAAGCATGCTAAGGATTTTGTTCCTTATCCTGTTGACAGGGGTTTTAAGCCTTTAAAAGTCAAGAATATCTTTAAAAAGTACACTACATCACACAATCTATTGTGTATTGTCTATCTTGCTGTTTATCCATACATTCATCTTGTAGCTAAAAAATTGGTGATTCAAACCCACCTGAAGGTGCTTTCTAGGATAGGTCTAACAATCTGATTCCAAAAGATGACAATCTTAACATTCCCACAGGATGTGAGATTGATGACCATTGGATAAATAACGATAGCTCAAAACTACAAAGAAGAATTCTATTCTTATCTTTTGTTTTGTTTGTGTTTCAAAAACTTGCTTTCCCCTTGCCCTCTTTTCCTTTCTTGGTATCCTAAATACCTAAGGACACTATTGTTTTCCTCTGTAATTTTATATAGTAATTTCTCACATTCTTAGGTTATTGTGTATTTTTTTCTGCTTCTTCAGGTCAACTGGCCTCATTGAGTTGACTGTATCTTCACGTATCAGAAATTGGTATCTTAAGAAGGAACTTTTTGAAAATGAAAGCTGCAAATAACAGGTTCCTGTCCTTGGAAAATAACATCATGCTGAGAGAAGTGAAAGGTCAGAGAAGAAAAGAAGATCCTCAACATGATGGTTTGACACAGCGACTATAAAAATCGGCTCGAGCATGTAGAGATCTGTTGTTTATAGAATTGATATGAATCATAGAACTCTGTTGGCCTAGTGGATAGAAAATTATGCTACCAAGTCAAAGATGGGTGATTTTAATCTGCAGCTCTCAGGCTTGGTTGAATTGTTTTGGTTAAACATTCTTCTAAGTAGTATATCACTGGCCTGTCCATTTGCTGTATAGAGGTAACTCATGGTTGCTGTGAGTGTAAACACTGTGACACTGTGACACTGTGACCATTACAGGGTTTGGTGGAGCTTCCAGATTAAAATAGGCTTGGAAGCAGGAGTGGCATCCACTTCCAAAATAGCTTGCCTCCAGAGACTCTATGAACTTGAAGAAAAGATGAAAGCTATACAAGTGTTCAGGTCTTTCCTTCATAGTGTCATGAGTCATCTATGACTCAATGGCACTTAACAACAACTACAACAACTACAACAACAAAAATACACATAAGGTCTCACCATCCATCCACCTATTTATATTTACTCATCTTGATAAATATGCATTATCTACACAGGAAGCTTAATACAGTATTCCATAGAGAACTATATTACTAGCTGAAAAGCCACTCCTTTCTGGCAGTTTGAATCAATGATCTCTTTAGCAGGAGAAAGATAGACAAACTCTTCCTGTGCATTTTTCAGTCTGAAAATCTACTGTAAGGGTCAACAATGAGTTAGTTCCAATTAGACAGCAATGACTTTTACTTGGACAATGATATTTTTATTAAATTTTATTTTCCTTTCCCTCCATTCTCATATCTGAAAACATCCAGGAATGATTCTATCAAACCATTCTCTGCTGTTGTTAGTTGCCGTTGGGTTCACTAGCTCTCAGAGGTACTTTATGAAGAACAGATGGAAATCCTGCCATATCATATGTCATCTTCAAAATTCCTACCATGCTCAAACTCAAACTTATCTTTACGGATATTGTTATTTTTTTTTTAATTTAAGACAAGGATTTTATACAATATTTTTCCTATTTTTATGTATTTTTTTAATTTGAGTAAAGACCTACAAATAATACTGTTTTACATACATTCATAGACTTTTTTATATTTTTTTGAAATTTATTATTTTGTGTGTGTACCATCAAATCAGATATGACTGATACAGGAGGAGATTGTCCCTCCTTCTCCAGCAAAGCATCTGATGGAGTTGAACTGCATACGTCTAAGATTACAGTGCAGCTTTTTGCCATTAGGCCACCAGAGCTCCACATTCATAGATATTTTGTTTTATAACTTTATTTATCATTGATTAATTAAAAGAAATAACTACAATGTCTAATAAATCCGCTTCTTAATCAACATGCCTCCAGAAACTCTGTGAACTTTGATAAAGGTTGATAGTTATAGAAAGGTTTCAGTCCTTTAGTTCATAGGGTCACTATGAGCTGTGCTTGACTCAAAGGTAATCAATGACAATAAACCCTCAGTTGTGTATTGCCTTTCCCTTCACCTAACTAACTAATTTATTAAATTGCCCTCTTGTGCACTTTTCATTTCCATTAACTGCCATGATTGCTTGCATCTGTATATAAACATTTCCTTAGTTGTTGGGGATTTTTATTTGGTTGTTTGTTTTTTGTTGTTTTGTTTTGAAGACTAGTGGCCTTTTACCATAATTAAGGCATTCTGGTACCCTAATGACAAAAAGTTGCACTGCAATTCTGAAGGCACTTAGTTGGAGAACACCAGCTGTTCTGCTGAAGAAGATGGGCAATCTCCTCTTGAATGATTAACTGTCTCTGAAAACCAGATGGAGGGTCAACTATGAGTTGGTTTCAGTTCAGTGGGACACTGCAACAACATAACATAATTATCCTTTTGTGATTGACCTATATCACTCAGTAGAATTTGCTTTAGATTCATCCATGTTGTGCACTTTTTCACAAATTCTTACATTATGTCTTACCAAATTAGAAACTATTGATCTATGTCCACTATTACCTAGTCTTTTCAGATCTCCAGTGGATCTTTCTTCTGTCCTTTTGCAAATGACTCACTTTACTCAGTATTATGTCCTTTACATTTATTGATGTTATACAGTGTTTCTTGAAGAGGCATCACTCTTGGAAGGGTGGAGACACAGCAGAAGAAAGAACCTGGATGAGCTGGATTGATTCAATGATAATGGGGTTAGATGTGTCAGAGACAATGAGCTTGGCTCAATATAGAGCAAGGTTCAGAGCTGTTGTACTTAGGGCCACTATGAGTGGCAAGCAATGCGATGGCACATTAACAACAACAACAGCAGCATGTTTTATAGCATTTCATTATGTGGATGTACTATAGTTTCTTTATACATTTCTCCATTGATGGACATTTCACTTGTTTCCATTTTTAAATTATTTTTTTATATTTTATTTTTAATTCTCTTATATGTTTGCATCTTTTTTAAATTACCAAATTCTATTTTACTTGAAGGCATTATGTTTAATATGAAGAAACTACTTCTTATCTTTTCGAAAACTAGTAAAATATGTAGACAATATAAATTTAGAAAGAAAAAGGATAAGCCCAGCCAATGCTCAGCTCTTAAAGAATCATATTATCAAGGGATTAAACCACTATTTACGAAAACACATCTTAAATTTTAGGGTTAGGGAGAAATCTAGTGAATAATAAGAACAGACATTGAAGAAACTTCTAACTTGAGAAATATAAGCAGAAGATTCTCATATTATTTAATTTCTAGATTAAACAAATGTTTCAAATGAAAAGTGAGAAGATGCAAACTAGATAAATTAAAAGAAGGATGTTGTGATTATTAGAGGGATATGTATTATACATATTAATATGTCATTTGCTGTTAGGTGCCACTGAGTCCAGTACCACCCATAGTGACCCTATTAACAACAGATCTGAACC